CATTCGAATAAACAAAATGTGAAAAAAATACAGCATGATGTACACCATCTTTAAACGACGGATGTTTATTGGAAATGGACTTTTGATATAATTGCTTGGAAGTTCAGAGGTTTTCAAATTCAGTAAACGTCCAAATTTACCCCTGTTTGCAACATGTTTCAAAACATCAGCAATAAGGTTATACATCACGTGATCTTTAGGACGTTTGTCTGTTTGTTTGTTTTGCTTTTTAATTATTATTATTTTTTTATACTTAAGCAGTTCCTTGTTGCATCTTTCAAGGCCATCTGGACTCCCGTCTTGAAAGTAAACTCATTCAAGAAAGCATGCGTTCCTGACTCCGCTCCCGTTCTCTTGGAAAAAAGGCAGTTATAATACACGATGAAAGAGGCAGGAGATTTCTATCCCTGCCTCATCATAAACCTCGTAGTCAATTTCTTCTCATGTTACACAACAATCATGTTGAACATTGCCTTAATATTCGCCCTTCGAAGGTCTTCATCACTGCCAAAGACTCTAAAAGTATTGATCCATAGCTTGACTGTTTCTGATCTTGGTATTGGATTAGTTGCCCAGCCTTTGCACATCGCTCACATGCTTATGCAAATACCACAAACTGACGACAAGGCAACTTCTAAAGACATAGATAGAGCTCTGCGTCTCATAGGACGCACCCTTGGTTATGTTTCATTCTTTGGTGTCACAGCTATCAGCGTTGACAGATTCGTGGCTATCCACCTTCACCTCAAACACCAGGAACTTCTCACCTACCAAGAAATTGTGACTTACAAGCGTGTTGTAGCTGCAGTAATCTTAAGCTGGATTCTCAGTGCTTGCCTAGCCCTAACCGATGTTTTGAGCAGCAAAAATGTTAGTGACCTTGTAGGGATGACTGTGGGCTTTGTTTGTCTCCTTACTATGGCTCTAATCTATTTCAACATTTCCACAGTTGTACGTCGCCACAACGTTCGAGTTAATGCACAGCCAGCCCAAGCAGTGGCACAAAACGAAGAAAGTCACTCAAATTTCGAAAGACTGAGAAAAACAGCAGTTGGTACATTTTATGTGTATCTGTTGATTTTGGCCTGTTATTTGCCAATGACTATTGTGATCCTGACCGGACGACAGAAGAATAAGATGAAACATTTGTTGATTTACGCTCGGACGCTGTTATATTTGAGTTCATCCCTCGTTCCTCTGGTTTACTGCTGGAAGTTTAGACACATCCGATGCGCTATCAAGAATATTCTGCGCGACATATTCGCAAGTCAGAATCAGATTCAGCAAGGCTAAACTGTATGTCTATCTGTTGTTTTTGGCCTGCCATTTGCCAATCGTTGTTGTGATCCTGGTCGGACAGATGAATAAGATGAATTTCAAAGAACATTTCTTAATTTACGCTCAGACGCTGTTATATTTGAGTTCATCCCTCGTTCCTCTGGTTTACTGCTGGAAGTTTAGACACATCCGATGCGCCATCAAGAACATTCTGGGCATATTCGCAAGTCAGAATCAGATTCAAGAAGGTTAAATTTTGCTAACTTAATTCAGCCTTTGAAAAATGACATGACCTTTCTAGTCTGTATACGCATCGTGCAAGAAGTTATAACGGTTTTCCTGTGTTATATTTAAACGATAGACCTAAACATTTGTTTGTCTCCCGATTTATTCCTTCCTGATGGCCTTATTAGTCCTTTATTACATATAAAAACGTCAAACGTACTGTAACTTTTGCTATTCGATTTGTATTATAAATTGCACTTTTATTTGGGTGACAAAAAAATTGGCAGAAGTTAGAACTTTAATCTAAAAACAATAGTATGCAGATAGCCTCGTACACCTGTAGCCTATAAATTGAAAATTCTTAGTTTTCTATAATTATCATTTTTGAATGACATACGTGTATAACAGTCTGACTTAAGGTAGAATTTTCTGGCAAATCGATTACGAAAATATTAATTTTAAATTAAGAAAGAATGATGCACGACTTGTCATGTAAGTATTAGTTTTATCTAATGCAGGAAAGATCATGAAGAGCAATCAACGTCATCATCCTTAACCGTTTAAACCCTAGGATCAAAATTAAAATTCTCCTTAGTCGCCCCTATTCATTTACTATAGAAGTAGTGAGGAGAAGATGATAAAATATCAAGCAAATGCATACTGTGTGATGATGTCCTAAATTCTCAGCTAAAGGCCTCTGGATATCAGATAAAACACTAAATGTTGTGTTTGATACAGCTTCTTCTTGAAGAAATTCAAAGCAATAAAAGTCCGCAAAATTTTCTCGTAGTTAATTTTCTCAACCTCCGTTAAGGTAATGATTTCCTTGTTTTTGTTTTCTTTTCTTGAATTATTAATAAGCTTAGGAATACTCAATCAACCTCGTTCTCCTTCGACAGAGGAAGTCGAGTTTAAGGACTCTGGAAACGAGGTCGTTAGCCAGACCACTGCAATAATTCACACGTCACCCCAAGGGTTGGGGAAATGAAACAATAGGAATCACCTGGAAGTTCAGTCATGAATAAATATATATCCTTTGTTTTATTGCCCCAAAACTCTGAGCCTGTAAAGACCACGAACACTTGCATTTTCAATGAAACAGTTTGTTTTATAATTGACACAAGGATCAATTTCTTTTTCTTTTAGGGGTAAAATACAAAAGAAGTTTAAGTTATTTTTGCTTTTATCGAAGTGCAAAAATTTATATTGTCTTGTGTTTGCTGTGAGATTTCTAACACATCAGTAGCAGTGCTATTTCATATCATGATATGGCGCTGAAAAGACAATTAATTTTTTTTCACAAGGCAGACGATTACAAAATCATTCGGTCATTGGCTTGAAGGCAGATAAAACATTTTAGAATGGTTAATGAAGCCACGTAGATTAACTGCAACTAAAATCGAAAATTAAAATCCAGCTTGATATAACCCCGCACCACAAGCAATTTACGACTAGTTACGCCACAGGTTCCCCAAGCTCCGAAGTGAGAATCGTCGTTGCGTAACAGAAATCAGAAATATTATAAGGGTTGGCTAGGGGATTTTAGCGATAGTTGGTCAGGGCACTAAAATAAAAAATAAAAATACATCAAAACTTCTTACCTTGCCTGCTTGTTTTATTCATAGTATGTTCCTAGCATTTCTGGCCATTTCAGCGGGATTCTAGCGAGTTCTACCTCTGCCGTTGTCCACCTGTTCTCTCTATGCGATGCTAAGACCATACCATGAATAAAAAAGGGAAGCAAGGTAAGACGTTTTGATGTATTTTCATTTCTATTTTAGTGGCCTAAATAACGATCGCTAAAATCCCCATATAAACTAATATAATAGTAGTTCTGTTACGTACGTAACAACGATTTTCTTTCGTGAGCTTAGGGTACCTGCGATTATTTGCTGCTTCCTCCGTTTCCTATTAACACTAAAAAAGCCTTTAATATTCAAATTTAAACCCTCATTTGGTACACCTGTACGTTTTCTCCGGAAGTGGTTGAAAGAAAGTAATTATGGTGCCTTACGTGGAGAAACTTGAAATGCTCAGTCCATCATTATGATCAGCTCGGCTGGCCATTAAAAAAAAAATAAACAGACATCTCGTTAATTGCCCAGCTCGGCAAGACGTTGAATTGAACGCCCCCGCGCGCTGAGGCCCGTGTCCCTAACCAATGCGTGTGTTGTTGAACACAGCCGGTGATTAGCCTTAGAACATTTTTTGGCTAGAAAGAAGAATAACAAGGCGAAAATAGTCGACCTCCATGACTTTTGGAACTATAATCAAAGAATGACCGAATCTGGAGGTCTCTTTACATCGCGCGCCGTGACCTGTATCTTTAACGCCTTTTTGTCTTACACTGCCATCATGTTGAACATTTTAACATTTCTGGCGCTGAGAAAGACTTTTTCTTTGCCCAAGCCTTTAAAAACACTGCTTTTGAGTTTGGCCGTTTCTGATCTTGGAATCGGTTTGGTTGTCCAGCCTTTGCATATATCACGTCTTGCCATGGAGTTGCAAGCAGACACTGACAGCAACTCGTACCATAATATTTGCAGCGCAATACACAAAACAGGCGTTGTTTTCTTTTATGCTTCTTTCCTTGGTGTTTCAGCCCTTACTGTGGACCGATTCTTGGCGATTCGTCTTCATCTCCGATACAATGAACTTGTGACCCACAGGCGTGTCGTTGCTCTTGCGATCCTGATTTGGCTTTTCAGTGCTTTTACTTCGATGGCTAGTGTCTGGATTCCAAAACTGTAAGAGTCGTCTTTGCTGTAGCTATTGTTGCTCTTTGCTCCATAGGTACAGTATATTTTTATTGCAAGATTTGGTTAGTGGCGCGACGCCACAAAACTCAAATCCAAACACTTCAAGCCGCACACGGCATCTCTCAACGTGACAGAACATCTGATTCACATTTCTTGAACTCTTCTTTGAAGGCTGCGCGAGTTTCATTTTTGGTGAACCTAATTTTTGTGGCTTGTTATTTACCAAATACCCTTGCAATTGCTACGGCTGCAAAAGGTAGCAATGAACAATCCGGGGTGGTAGAACATTTGTCTCTCTATACTTTGACATTGTTGTTTCTTAATTCTTCCCTCAATCCTCTGATTTACTGTTGGAAGATGAGACATATTCGATACGCCATCAAAAGTATTCTTCGGAAAATTTTGAAATTATTTAATAACAATAATTAATGGATAAAGATCAACCAAAATAATTAATAACAATGTTAATACCTGTACACACCGGTTCCGTTTTTTTTTTTTTTGCGAGAAGGCCAAATAAAAGATATATGGCCCCACGTAAGGTAATCCAAGACAGTCTGAGATAATTCGTAAAGAAAATACAAATAAAATTAATGTTTAATGAGTGTTTGGAAATAAGATGAAAAACTGCTCATTTTTGCATCCTTAATTTCTCCTTCTAAAATCCTTTTGTTTGAGAAGTAATATCAAGCATTCGACAGTCTTTCATCACCAGATGAAACACCTCGAAGTTCGTCAAAAATATTCCGCTGCGCGTCGTATTTTCACCTCTCTTCTCGGTGTTTAGCTGTGTTTCATCTGGTGATGAAATACTGCGTCTTATTCTTGATATTTTACTTCAACTATAGTAGCCTTTCATCAATGCTTACTGATTTGAATTGGCCTTCACTGCAGTCAAGGCCCAGGATATGCGGTCTCGGCATGTTTTATAAAATACATTGAGGTCAAGTCAACATCTTCCTTCCCTATGACCTTATCTCCATGCCTGCATATGGCCGTACAAGGGCCAGTCACGACTTTAAGATCAGACTCCCATCCTCTTAAGTTGACGCTTACAAACGCTCTTTTTATGTAAGAGCAATCCCCGTATGGAACGCGTTGTCAGCTGACGTTGTTAGTTCTTCATCGTATCCAGAATTCATCCCAAGAGTGTCTGCTAATTCAACATAATAATGTAATTTACATCGTTGGTTTTTCATTTTTTCGGATACCATGTAATTGAACGACCGCTGGCCGCTCCATTGCCGGATTAGCATTATTTGTAACGCTAGTGGTAATTACCATGATTAAAGACTAAAGATTACAGCAAGGAGCCCAAAAGTGTGACCGCTTTTAATTTATTCACTTTTTTTCGTGCAGGTTTAATCCAGTCAGAAGCCAGCTGGAAACTGTCCTCGACTTCCGATTGGTTAATGTCTGCATGAAAGAATGTGAATTATTTAAAAGACGTCACACTTTTGGGTTCCTTGCTGTAAACTGACAAGGAATCCGGAGTCCATTACCTGGAATCAAATTAATCTACAGCATGGAATCCAGAACACAAGACTGTTTTGGATTACCTCTGATACATGGGGCGAATCATGGACCACATCTCTCTGAGGACGCAAGAAGACTGAAGACGGGAAAGAAGTAGTGATCATACTTGCAATGATCATGTGCATCATACATGTGAAACACTGATGGACTGTCTAGCAGAGTCACGCTATGGACAACTGAATATCTTTTACGTTTGGTCATTCCAGCGTCTGCGGAACTGACCAGATGGCGGGACAAAGTTAATGAGATTGATGAGGAAGTGCCAGAGAGAGATGAGGTACGTAACTGTGACTGTTCAAGACGTCACAGCTCGCCTGGGCCGGACACAACTTATTATTAGGCGTTCCCTCTTGCCCCAGTGTCCACTCGAAGTCTTTGAAAGGGTGGGCAAGAGACCAAGTCTCGGAAAGGTCCTTCACGGTGACGTCACAGCCTATGTAGAGTCCAGGATTGACCGAGCCGAGAATGGCTAGGGAATGGGCTGAGCCGAACATCCTTCAAGAAAGGAGCGACTTAAGGGCATCTGGATATCAGATAAAACACTAAATGTTGTGCTTGATACAACTTCTCAATGAACAATAATTCTTGAAGAAATTCAAAGCAATAAAAGTTCGCAACATTTTGTGGTAATCAATATTTTCCAACCTCCGTTACGGTAATGATTTCCTTGTTTTTGTTTTGTTTCTTGAATTATTAATGAGCTTAGGAATACTCAACTGCTCAATCAACCTCGTTCTTGTTCGACGGAGGAAGTCGAGTTTAAGGACTCTGGGAAAGAGATCGTTAGACAGACCACTGCAATAATTCACACTTCACCCCAAGGCTTAGGGAAATGAAACAATAGGAATCACCTTCATGTTCAGTCATGAATAAATATATATCTTTTGTTTTATTGCCCCAAAACTCTGAGCCTGTAAAGACCACGAACACTTGCATTTTCAATAAAACAGTTTTATAATTAATACAAGGATCAACTTCTTTTTCTTTAAGTGGTACAATACAACAGAAGTGTCATATATTTTTGCTTCTATCGAGGTGCAAAAATTTATATTGTCTTGTGTTTGCTGTGAGATTTCTAACACATCAGTAGCAGTGCTATTTCACATCATGATATGGCGCTGAAAGACAATTAATTTTCTATCACAACGCAGACGATTACAAAATCATTCAGTCATTGGCTTGAAGGCAAATAAAACGTTGTAGAATGGTTAACGAAGCCACGTAGATTAGCTGCAGCTAAAATCGAAAATTAAAATCCAGCTTGATATAACCCCGCACCACATGCAATTTACGACTAGTTACGCCACAGGTACCGCAAGTTGCGAACTGAGAATCGTTGTTGCGTAACAGAAATCAGAAATATTATAAAGGTTGGTAAGGGGATTTTAGCGATAGTTATTTAGGGGACTAAAATAGAAAATAAAAAATACCTCAAAACTTCTTACCTTGCCTGCTTGTTTTATTCATGTATGTTCCTAGCATCTCTGGCCATTTCAGCGCGATTCTAGCGAGTTTTAGTTCTGCCGTTGTTCACCTGCTCTCTCTATGCGGTGCTAAAACCATACCATGAATAAAACAGGGAGGCAAGGTAAGAATTTTTGGTATATTTTTATTGCTATTTTAGTGGCCTAAATAATGATCGCTAAAATCCCCATACAAACCCATATAATAGTTCTGTTACGTAACAACGATTTTCTTTCGTGAGCTTGGGGTTACCTGTGATCATTTGCTACTTCCTCTGTTTTCTATTACGTAACCCTTATGCAGAGTTAAAACCTTTAAATTTTAGGACGCGGACGAGATTAAACTTATAGTTTGTTCGCGTATTCTCAAACAAAATGTTCATCCCGGAAAGCTTCACTGTTTTTTTTGTTTTGTTTTGTTTTTGTTTTTTCACCAGAAAGTTAACAAGATTCGTTTTATTAAAAGAGGTTAAGCTCTCTTCCGATCGCAAACTGATAAAGCTTCTATTATTTGCTTACTTATCTCCGTCACTGCGACATTCTCGCTAAAAATCGTAGTAGAATGACGACCGTCATCATTCGACCTAACGACAAGTCTACGCTTGACTTTTTGACACATAACGAAAAAAAGGGAACAAATTTCAAAAAGAGGGCTGCCCATACGAGCAAAACCTCGTAGGTCCTTGTGGCTGAAATTTTTGACATTTGCTTCCGCAGGTAATACCGACAATGGATGGTTTGGAAGGACTTCGTGCGTTCAAAGAAAAGAGAACACCGCAATACACGGGAGAATAAGAAAGCCATTTCTTTATTTAATTTCAAAAAATTAATAAAGAAATCGACTCACGATACCGAAGCATTCAGAAGTTTCCTAAAGCCATGGGCTTTAAAAATGGATCTTAATTGTTTTGAGAAAACAAATTGCACCAACTCAAAGTGAAATTTTTAAAACTATTCTCATTCGTATAAAAGCCGCCGCGTGACGATTTAATCAACTAGATTACTGCGTGCTCCCTCGGGAAGCAGTCTATTGGTCCTTTACGGTCCCCAGGGAAATTCCCTAGGCCTTTTATACGCCCTAGCAAACAAATTCACCGTCTTCTCGCAAGTCTACTCTTCAACGGGCAAGCAAGTTTCATTCTTCCGCAACGCGACCAGCACCGCTGAAGCTCTTTCATGGCTCTCGTCCCTTTTTAACCAGACCCAGCTGACGCAGTAGCTATTGCTTCGACAGAACCTCAACCAGCACCAACACCATCCACCTAAGTATCATGTTTTAATTTCTCGCTTCCCCCTTTTCTTGTCAATTTGTCACATACGTGGCGTTTATCTTTTTCACCATTCTGTTCTGGAGTTTGTTTACGTTAGCGCTTTTAGGCGTCTGTGCGACGTACCAGGGGTAAGGCGAACCTTATTTCATTATTGTCGCGTCTTTTTTGTCTGTTACAGTAGAACGAAAACGAGCCGGAACATATTTACGTTGGCGCTTCATGGCGTCTGTGAAACGTAAAGGAGAATCTCAACAGTGCAGTTCAGTGGAATGTATTTAATTACGTTGGCGCCCTTCGGCGTCTGTGAAACGTATAATGAAGAGAAAGACATTACGTTGACGCTTCTTAGCGTTTGTGAAACGTAAAGGAGGATCCTAGCAGCTCTGTTCAGTGGCATGTTTTTAATCACTTACGTTGGCGCCTTTTGGCGTCTGTGAAACGTACAATCAGGGGATAGACATTACGTTGACGCTTCTTAGCGTTTGTGAAACGTAAACGAAGATCTCACCAACGCAGTTCGGTGGCATGTTTTTAATTTCGTTGGTGCCCTTTAACGTCTGTGAAACGTACAATGACGAACAGACTTCTTTGGCTTTACTTCGCGACCGTCCATCGTACATTTGTCTACAGTCTTTGATGCTTTATGGCATTTTACGTGTATGTATTGAAAGATTTTAGAATAAGGTGGCCAGTTGTTTATTTTTCCCGTTCGTTTCCTACTCATTGTATTGTCAACATTTTGTATAATTTCTGCACATTGCATTGTCAGCATACTCCGTGCCCCCTCGCAGCTGTTCCCTTGAGACGTCTCACTTTTTATATTGTGTTTATTCTTCTTCACCTATTACACTTGTGATCTTAGAGGTCACATAGCAGAAATTGAAGGTGACGTAACTCCTAGATATCAGTAACCACATTCTCTTTACTCTAGCGTACAGCCTTTATAAATTTGCACGAGTTTTCTTGTATATTATATTTTTCTTTGGCTTTTGCTTCCTATATTTCCTTACCCCACATTTGAGTCGTGCTCAGGGGGGGTTCCTAAACACACCCCTCATCCAGTCTTCGGACGGTGTCCTGACTCGACTCAACTGTGGGGTTCCCTCCCAGCCTCCCTCTTTCGTAGGGTCTTTCCTTCTTTTTTTTATCTCCCCCATTCGGATTTCTCTCACCGGGTTACACATGCTGCAAGCCACCCTTCAGCTTTCCTTTAGCGTATCCGGGAGGGAAAGCCCCACAGTTGGGCCGGGCCACTCCCCTCAATTGAATCCGTCACATCTGGGAGGCATTACGCCAACACTGCCCATCTCTCTAAGGGAGTTTTTCTGGGTTTTTCTGAGTTTCGGGGAGATTTGACTGTACTGCAAGTTAATGAGGTATTCTGCAATAATTTACCGTCTTTTGGATGAGTCTATAGCACCCCTGGTGTCGAGCAAAATTTTTCACCCATAACTTATCTATCAAAAGGCATAAGGTGGCTTTTATGCGAATGCAAATTAGTTACTATTCTCATTCGTATAAAAGCCGCCGCGTGACGATTTAATCAACTAGATTACTGCGTGCTCCCTCGGGAAGCAGTCTATTGGTCCTTTACGGTCCCCAGGGAAATTCCCTAGGCCTTTTATATGCCCTAGCAAACAAATTCACCGTCTTCTCGCAAGTCTACTCTACAACGGGCAAGCAAGTTTCCCCACCCTCCTCCCCTTCAGCGGCGCAGGCAAATTTTCTCTATCAGCCCACCTTATGCCTTATGCAAAATTTTTCACCCATAACTTATCTATCAAAAGGCATAAGGTGGCTTTTATGCGAATGCAAATTAGTTACTATTGGCGTCGCTGTTTTTAAAAGAAAGTAATTATACTTTCCAAACTGAAGACACCTATTAAAATGCTCACCATTGGCTTGGCTAATAAGTCGGTTTATCCGATTTAAGTCGACTCATAAATAGCAAGATAAAGCAAAGAGACGTCTGTTTATTTGCTCAGCGTGGCAAGACACGGTACCTCTTCGCTTGGCCAGCGAGTTGCGCGTGCAACCAACCCCCAACATTAATCCAGTCACAATCAGTTTTATTCCCAAGTTATATCGTGGAGTTATTTACATGTATTATAAGGGACATATTGACAATGTACTCTAAGCTTACATCTACTAGAAAGCTCGCATTTCCTGAAATCAATTCCATAAAAGATGAAACAACCGATTATTGTGTACCATGTTATCTGCTATAATATCCCTAGTAAGTCCTTTTAAAATATACTCGTTCGATTGAAAACCCATTTTACAATTAGACTCTTTCTTCATAAATCGGTCGCCGAGGTTTGGAACTCAGCGTAAACAATTACAATACAACTGTTTGATTGTGGCCTTCACGGCTTGCCTCACTTCTTTGATCCTCCAACAATACAGGAACGGGTTAAGAGATGAGTTTAAGAAGACGAGAGTTGGATATACAAGAGACGCTATGAAAGAAACCTCAAGGTTGGCAAGAACGTTATTCAAAAGTAACATCGCATTTACAATAACAAATGGGATATAGCATACAACTAGCGCCGACTGCACCAAACCTATGCTGGTAACGGTTCTTTTAAACTGTGCTATGCGCAACGCCGGAATTCCCCCTCCAATTGGTTGCCCATGATGGTGAACATCGCATTGCCCAGTAGGGTGCACAGTAGGGTGCACAGTAGCTTGATGTAGACGCAGCTTGATAAATATGATGGTGTAAGAAAGAAGTGAGGTAACGATACAAAGCATTACCGAGACTGAAATTGCTGTCAAGGCGATGTTTGTATCCCAGACCAAGAACATGAAAATGCCCGAAACAGGACTTAACCAAAAGCAGAAAACAACTGCACGAGCTCGCTTCAGTGTCACAACGTGCCTGTACCGTAGCTTCAACAAAAGGGCGAGAGTCTGTCCACACTTAGAGCAGTCGTTGTGAGCACGGAAACTCCAGAAAGACAAATTGATAACCCCCAAGTTATATCGTGGAGAATAGAGATGATATTCCAAAGGTTGAAGTTTATCAGAAAGATGAAGATGGCATAGAGTGGCTGCGAAATGAGACCAACGCCAAGATCAGTGATCGCCAGGCATTGAAACAACAGTTTCGTTGGTGAATGAAGAGAAGTTACCTTGCGAAGAGCAATCAGGATCAGAATGTTGCCCACCGATGCCGTGATGGAAAGAAGAATATTAAGAGAGCAAAATATGATCACTGTCGCCAGATTAAATACCTCGGAAGAGATAGCGTTTCTATCTTCGGTTGAGTTTCCCATCTAAAGGGCGCGACTGCCTTTCAGTTATATATCCTGTACTCTCATAATAACAAATATTGGGCCAGTAGGCTAGAAAACCCTCCTTTATGACTGTTCAGCCTTAATTGCTGATTATTCAAAGTGATAATTCAAAGTGACAATTATACGTCAGACGCCAAAATATTGTTTTGGTAGCAGTACAATACCATAGACGTTTAAAAAATTTACTTTTGCATTTATAGAAGTGCAAAAATAGTTTTGTGTTTGCTACGAGATTACAAAACATCACACTAGCAGTATTATTTCACATCATGATTTGGCGCTGACAAGACACTTAATTTTTTATCATAAGGCGGACAGTTAAAAAATCATTCAGTAATCGGCTTGAAGACAATGGTTGTATAAAACATTTTAATGAGAACAGTTAACGTAGCCACCGTGACATAGATTAACTTCAGCTGAATGTTAATCGAAAATTTTACATGTAAACTTCCAAATTCAGATGGATGTGACCCAGCGCCGCATACAATTTACGACTACATGTAGTTACATTTGCAAATTAATCATTTGCTACTTCTTTCGTTTCCTATTAACCCTAAAAAAGCCCCTAATATCAAAATTTAAATTCTCATTTCCTGCCCCGTTTTCCCTGAAGTAGTGGGGAGCAGTTGTTGAAGTATCAGCACATCATATCTTTTTTGATCATACCCTTAATTCTTGTCACCAATATTGCAAGGAGAAATGTGATGCTGATCACTCTTGATGGGTTAAAAACGGAGGTGTTCTACCTTTGACAAGCAGAGTGACAAGCAATGTCAGAGAAAAGTTAATATCAAGATAAAAGTTAATGTCAGAGAAAAGTTAATAACAAATTTAACCTTGACAGCACACAAGTTATTGTAGCGTGGTATGACATACCGCTTCTTCACGGGCTTATGACATGGCGCCTTTCATCTTAAAGCTGGAGCTCCCTAGGGATATAATCTTCATTTTCTTTTAAACGAGTATAGTGATCTATCATTTTGCTTCTCTTTTTTGGGATGAGCATTAATTTTCTTTCTCTAGAATAAACGTAGACTTCAAGCGAGACAGATGGGGAATACGAAGTTAAACTAATCTTTTCGTTTATTCGTTTTTCTGAGGCTTCTAGGGAGGACTGTAATTTTTATTTTGTGCTAACGGACACCATTTGACTAAACAAAATGTGAAAAAAATACAGGATAACGCAGGCCACCTTTAAACGACGAATGTTTATTGGAAATGGACTTTTAATATAATTGCATTGACGTTCAGAGGTTTTCAAATTATTAAAAGTCCAAATTTACCCCAGTTTGTAACATGTTTCAAAACGTCAGCAATAAGGTTACATCATGTGAGTTTTAGGACCTTTTTTCGATCCTTATAATTAAGCAGTTCCTTGTTGCATCTTTCAAGGCCATCTGGACGCCGGTTTTGAACACCTCTAAGAAGAGGCGTTCGTGGAGGGAGAGAGTCCTTCATCCGACGTCTTCCTCATAAACGTAAACTCATTCAAGAAAGCACGCCTTCCTGACTCCGCTCCCGTTCTCTTGGAAAAACGAAGTTATAATACACAATGGAAGAGGCAGGAGATTTCTCTCCCTACCTCATCATAAACGTCGTAGTCAATTCTTTCTCATGTTACACAGCAATCATGTTGAACATTGTCTTAATATTCGCGCTGAGAAGGTCTTCATCACTGCCAAAGACTCTAAAAGCATTGATCCTCAGCGTGGCTATTTCTGATCTTGGCATTGGATTAGCTGTCCAGCCTTTGTACATCGCTCGCATGATTATGAAAATACAACAAACTGACGACCAGGAAACTTATAACGGTATAAATAGAGCTCTGCGCCTCATAGGAAGAACCCCTGGTTACGCTTCATTCTTTGGTGTCACAACTATCAGCGTTGACAGATTCCTTGCTATCCACCTTCACCTCAAACACCAGGAACTTCTCACCTACCAAGAATTTGTGACATACAAGCGTGTTGTAGCTGCAGTGATCTTAAGCTGGCTTCTCAGTGCTTTCCTGGTTCTTACCGGTGTTTTCAGCGGTACATATGTTTGTAACCTTGCAGCGGTGACTGTGGCATTGGTTTGTCTCCTTACCATGGGTCTAATCTATTTCAAGATTTACATAGTCGTACGTCGCCACACCGTTCAAGTTCATGCACAGCCAGCCCAAGCAGTGGCACCGAACGAAGAAAACCGATCGAATTTTGAAAGAGTGAGAAAAACAGCGGTTGGTACATATTACGTCTATCTGTTGTTTTTGGCCTGCCATTTGCCAATCGCTATTGTGCATGTGATCCTAGCCACACGGATGAATAATGTGGGGGAACATTTGTTAATTTACGCTCGAACGCTGTTATATTTGAGTTCATCCCTCGTTCCTCTGGTTTACTGCTGGAAGTTTAGACACATCCGATGCGCTATCAAGACCATTCTGCGCAACATATTCGCAAGTCAGAATCAGATTCAGGAAGGCTAAACCTACCGTCTATCTGTTGTTTTTGGTCTGCCACTTGCCACTCGCTATTGTGATCCTGGTCAGACAGGTGAATAAGATGAGAGAACATTTCTTAATTTACGCTCGGACGCTGTTATATTTGAGTTCATCCTTTTTTCCTGGGGTTTACTGCTGGAAGTTTAGACACATCCGATGCGCTACCAAGAACATTCTGCGCAACATATTCGCAAGTCAGAATCATATTCAAGAAGGCTAAATTTTACTAACTTGATTCAGCCTTTGAAAAATGACATGACCTTTCTAGTCTGTATACGCATCGTGCAGGAAGTTATAACAGTTTTCCCGTGTCATATTTGAACGATAGCCTAAACATTTGTTTGTTTCCCGATTTATTCATTGTTGATGGCCTTATTCGTCCTTTATTACATATAAAAACGCCAAAAGTACTGTAACTTTTGCTATTAGGTTTGTGTTATAAATTGCAGTTTTATTTGGGTGACAAAAAATTAGCAGAAGTTAGAACTTTAATCTAAAAACGATAGTATGCAGACAACCTCGTAGACCTGTAGCCTATAAATTAAAAGTTCTTCGTTTTCTATAATTATCATAATATTAATTTTAAATTAGGAATGATGCACGATTTGTTATTAAGTATTATAATGCAGGAAAGATCATGAGGACGGAGTGATCAACGTCATCATCCTTAACCCTTTAAACCAAAGAATCAAAATTAAAATTCTCCTTTGTCGCCCCTATTCATTTACTATAGAAGTAGTGAGGAGAAGTTGATAAAATATCAAGCAAATGCATTCTGTGTGATCATGTCCTAAATTCTCAGCTCAAGGCGTCTGGATATCAGAAAAAACACTAAATGTTGTGTTTAATACAGCTTTTCAATAAACATTGATTCAAAGCAATAAAAGTTCGCAAAATCTTATGGTAATTAATTTTTTTCCAAACTTCGTTACGAAAATGATTCCCTGTTTTGTTTTCTTTTTATGAATTATTAATGAGCTTAGGCATACTCAATCAAGCACGTTCTCGTTCGACGGAGGAAGTCGAGTTTAAGGACTCTGGGAACGAGGTCGTTAGCCAGACCACTGCAATAATTCACACGTCACCCCAAGGCTTGGGGAAATGAAACAATAGGAATCACCTTGAAGTTCAGTCATGAATATATGTATATCTTTTGTTTTATTGCCCCAAAACTCTGAGCCTGTAAATACCACGAACACTTGCATTTCCAATAAAACAGTTTTATAATTACCACAAGGATCAATTTCTTTTTCTTTTAGTGGTACAATACAACAGAACATTAATTTATTTTTGCTTCTATCGAAGTGCAAAAATTTATATTGTCTTGTGTTTGCTGTGAGATTTCTAACACATCAGTAGCAGTGCTATTTCACATCATGATATGGCGCTGAAAAGACAATTCATTTTTTATCACAAGGCAGACGATTACAAAATCATTCAGTCATTGGCTTGAAGGCAAATAAAACATTTTAGAATGGTTAATGAAGCCACGTAGATTAGCTGCAGCTAAAATCGAAAATTACAATCCATCTTGATATAACCCCACACCACATGCAATTTACGGCTAGTTACGCCACAGGTACCCCAAGCTCCAGACTGAGAATCGTTGTTGCGTAACAGAAAACAGAAATATTATAAAGGTTGGTTAGGGGATTTTAGCGATAGTTAGCCAGGGCACTAAAATAAAAAATAAAAATACCTCAAAACTTCTTACCTTGCCTGCTTGTTTTATTCATGGTATGATCCTAGCATTTCTGGCTATTTAAGCGCGATTCTAGCGAGTTTTAGTTCTGCTCTCTCTATGCGATGCTACGAACATACCATGAATAAAACAGGGAGGCAAGGCGAGACGTTTTGATTTATTTTCATTTCTATTTTCGTGTTCTAAATAACAATCGCTAAAATCCCCATACAAACCCATATAATAGTTCTGTTACGTAACAACGATTTTCTTTCTTGAGCTTGGGGTACCTGTGATTATTTGCTACTTCCTCCGTTTCCTATTAACCCTAAAAAAGCCTCTACTATCCAAATTTCAATCATCATTTGGTGCACCTGTACGCTTTCTCCTGAAGTAGTGGGGAGCAGTTGTTGAAGTACCAGCACGTTATATCATACATATGATCATGCCCTTAAATCTTTTCACCAATCTGCTTTAAAAAGCATCGATATTGGTGATGCTGAGGTGTTATACCTTTGACAAGCAGAAGGACGGGCAAAATGTCAGAGAAAAAGTTCATATCAAATTGAACCCTGAGTCGGCGCACAAGTTATATAATTATTGTAACGCGATATGACTTACCGCTTCTTTAAGAGCTAATTACATGGAAATTGCTGAATACTACAAAAAACGCATTTACACAAACAATACATTAACCCACTGGAAGCCCTGCGAATTATTTGTTGCCTCATAATGAGTGTGACCTAGCAAAAAACAGGCGTGGAGCCGGAGGGTGTAACTTAATATTACAGATTAGAAGCATCTGTTGAATTAGTTTAATTTTTCCGATGGATTTAACCCGTTTTTTTTTTGTAATTTTTATTTATTTATTTCTTTTTCTCAAGCATGATAAAGCATGTTTCAAGTACAAACATTTCTGTTATCTTAACAAAAGCTGAATTTTTGCAATCTACGTTCGCATCATTTGATTCACTCGTCCTTCATTAGTCTGGATCACGAGACATAGAACGGTTGAGTTTTTTCCTTATTATTACATTGCACATCCTTACTACTTATAATTACTGGCATCAGATGATTAGACCGCGCACATTATCAAAACATGGCGCCTTTTGCCTTGAGGCTGGCGCTCCCTAGAGAGATAAATCTTCATTTTCTTTTAACCGAGTATGGTGGTCTATCATTTTGTAAACTTCTCTTTTTTTAAGATGAGCACTAATCTTCTTTCTGTGGAATAAACATACACTTCTAGCAAGACTGTGGAGAATATGAAGTTTAACTAATCTTCTTGTTTATTCGTTTTTCTGAGGCTTCTAGGAAGGGCTTTAACTTCAGGGGCACCCAACGACGGTTCCCTCCCACATACATTGAAAACACTTTTTAGGCTATCGACGGTACTTTTAGATATCTAGAAATGCATTCTAAGCGGTGCTATAAAATTTGTATCTAGCGAAAGACAGAAAGAAAGCAAATGACACCAACCCAAACTGAAATTTTAAACACTAATTTTCTTACATAAAAAAAAAAAAGAAAGTAAGTAAGTATGGTGCCTTACTAGGAGAAACTTGAAATGCTCAGTCCATCATTATGATCAGCTCGGCTGGCAATTATTAAAGGTCGACTTATGGATTACAAGAAAAAAAAATATACAGACATCTCGTTAATTGCCCAGCTCGGCAAGACGTTGAATTGAACTCCCCCGCGCGGTGAGGCCCGTGTCCCTAACCAATGCGTGCGTGTGTTGTTGATGAACACAGCCGGTGATTAACCTTAGAACAGTTTTTCGCTAGACAGAAGAATAACAAGGCGAAAATAGTCGACCTCCATAACTTTTTGAACTATAATCAAAGAATGACGGAATCTGGAGGTCTCTTTACATCGCGCGCCGTGACCTGTATCTTTAACGCCTTTTTGTCTTACACTGCCATCATGTTGAACATTTTAACAATTCTGGCGCTGAGAAAGACTTTTTCTTTGCCCAAGCCTTTAAAAACACTGCTTTTGAGTTTGGCCGTTTCTGATCTTGGAATCGGTTTGGTTGTCCAGCCTTTGCATATATCACGTCTTGCCATGGAGTTGCAAGCAGACACTGACAGCAACTCGTACCTTAATATTTGCAGCGCAATACACAAAACAGGCGTTGTTTTCTTTTATGCTTCTTTCCTTGGTGTTTCAGCCCTTACTGTGGACCGATTCTTGGCGATTCGTCTTCATCTCCGATACAATGAACTTGTGACCCACAGGCGTGTCGTTGCTCTTGCGATCCTGATTTGGCTTTTCAGTGCTTTTACTTCGATGGCGAGTGTCTGGATTCCAAAAACTGTAAGAGTCGTCTTTGCTGTAGCTATTGTTGCTCTTTGCTCCATCGGTACAGTATCTCTTTATTACAAGATTTGGTCAGTGGCGCGACGCCACAAAACTCAAATCCAAACACTTCAAGCCGCACCCGTCATCTCTCAACGTGGTAGAACATCTGATTCACATTTCTTGAACTCGTCTTTGAAGGCTGCGCGAGTTTCATTTTTGGTGAACCTAATTTTTGTGGCTTGTTATTTACCAAATACCCTTGCAATTGCTACGGCTGCAAAAGGTAGCAATGAAAAATCCGGGGTGGTAGAACATTTGTCTCTCTATACTTTGACATTGTTGTTTCTCAATTCTTCCCTCAATCCTCTGATTTACTGTTGGAAGATGAGACATATTCGATACGCCATCAAAAGTATTCTTCGGGAAATTTTGAAACTCTTAAATAAAAATAATTAATGGATAAAGATCAACCAAATAATTAATAACAATGTTAATACCTGTACACACCGGTTCCATTTTTTTGCTGGAAGGCCAAAAACAAATGAAAGATATATGGCCCCACGTAAGGTAATCCAAGACAGTCTGAGACTCTGAAACCTTAAACTCATTAATAATTCGTAAAGAAAATACAAATAAAATTAATGTTTAATGAGTGTTTGGAAATAAGATGAAAAACTGCTCATTTTTGCATCCTTAATTTCTCCTTCTAAAATCCTTTTGTTTGAGAAGTAATATCAAGCATTCATCACCAGATGAAACACCTCGAAGTTTGCCAAAAATATTCCGCTGCGCGTCGTATTTTCAACTCTCTTCTCGGTGTTTAGCTGTGTTTCATCTGGTGATGAAATACTGCGTCTCATTCTTGATATATTACTTCAACTATAGTAGCGTTTCATCAATAGAGCTGATTTGAACTGGCCTTCACTGCAGTCAAGGCCCAGGATATGCGGTCTCGGCATGTTTTATAAAATACATTGAGGTCAAGTCAACATCTTCCTTCCCTATGACCTCATCTCCATGCCCGCATATGGCCGTACAAGAGCCAGTCACGACTTTAAGATCAGACTCCGATCCTCTTAAGTTGACGCTTACAAACGCTCTTTTTGTGTAAGAGCAATCCCCGTATGGAACGCGTTGTCAGCTGACGTTGTTAGTTCTTCATCGTACCCAGAATTCATCCGAAGAGTGTCTACTAATTCAACATAATAATGGCATTTACATCGTTGGTTTTTCATTTTTTCGGATACCATGTAATTGAGTGACCGCTAGCCGCTCCATTGCCGGATTAGCATTATTTGTAACGCTAGTGGCAATTACCATGATTAAAGACCAGTTCCCTTTTGCCCCAGTGTCCACGCGAAGTCTCGGAAAGGGTGGGCAAGAGACCAAGTCTCGGAAAAGTCCTTCTCGGTGACGTCACAGCCTACGTAGAGTCGAGGATTGATCGAGCTGAGAACGGCTAGGTACTAGGCTGAGCCGAACATCATTAAAGAAAGGAGCGACTTAAGCCTGGTTTCCATATGATCGTCCGGATCGTCCCGATCGCCCCAGTCGTTTCAAAATATTTCGAGACGATCCGGACGACTGGGACGATTGGTAGTTTCCATATGATCGTCTCGATCGCCTCAAAGGCAAGAGACGCCGTGTCGTCAGCGATGTCTCTGGGTCAGACAATAGAATTTTTGCGCGTGTTTTGCAAACAAGCCACATAAATGGATGATTTTTATTTGTAAAGCGAACCTTACCTTGGTATCTGCTTTTTCTCTTGATTTTGCGGCATTGAGAAGCTAGAAGAGTTCTCCGAAGACATAGTATCTCTTCGAAAACTTGATGTCACGGACTTTCTCTAATTTCAAATAACCCCATAAGCGCTGCGAACATTTGTGTATTAGTTTTTCGGCTTCAGCGCCATCCGGGGCGAATTTATTCTCTATTACTGGAAAAAAAGCGATGACTTCTGGGATAGCCTTCGATCGTCCCGATCGTCTCAGTCGTCTGAGAGCGTTTCCATATGATCGCTTCAAAATTGACGTGATCGTCCCGATCGTCCGGATAGAACTCAACTCTATCCAAGCGATCGAGGTCGTCTCAGTCGTCCGGGTCGATTGCGATCGTCTGGGTAGCGTTTCCATATAATCGTCCCGATCGTCTGAACATTTTTTGAGACGACTGGGACGATCGGGACGATCCGGACAATCATATGGAAACCAGGCTTAAAGGCGTCTGGATATCAGATAAAACACTAAATGTTGTGTTTGATACAACTTCTCAATGAACAATAATTCTTGAAAAAACTTCAAAGCAATAAAAGTCCGCAAAACTTTGTGGTAATTAATTTTTTCCAACCTTCGTTACGGTAATGATTTCCTTGTTTCTATTTTCTTTTTCTTGAATTATTAATGAGCTTAGGAATACTCAATCAACCTCGTTTTCGTTCAAAAGAGGAAGTCGAGTTTAAGGACTCTGGAAACGAGGTCGTTAGCCAGACCACTGCAATAATTCACACGTCACCCCAAGGCTTGGGGAGATGAAACAATAGGAATCACCTGGAAGTTCAGTCATGAATAAATATATATCTTTTTTTTATTATTGCCCCAAAACTCTGAGCCTGTAAAGAAAACGAACACTTGCATTTTCAACAAGAGAGAATGTTTTCAATAATCAAAAACAGTTTTATAATTAACACAAGGATCAATTTCTTTTCCTTTTAGTGGTAAAATACAACAGAAGTTTAAGTTATTTTGCTTCTATCAAGAAAGTATAAAAATTTAGATTGTCTTGTGTTTGCTGTGAGATTTCTAACACATCAGTAGCAGTGCTATTTCATATCATGATATGGCGCTGAAAAGACAATTAATTTTTTATCACAAGGCAGCGATTGCAAAATCATTCAGTCATTGGCTTGAAGGCAGATAAAACATTTTAGAATGGTTAATGAAGCCGTGTAGATTAGCTGCAGCTAAAATCGAAAATTAAAATCCATCTTGATATAACTCCGCACCACATTCAATTTACGACTAGTTACGCCACAGGTACCCCAAGCTCCGGAGTGAGATCAGAATCGTTGTTGCGTAAAGGTTGGTTAGGGGATTTTAGCGATAGTTAGTCAGGGCACTAAAATAAAAAATAAAAATACGTCAAAACTTCTTAACTTGCCTGCTTGTTTTATTCATGGTATGTTCCCAGCATTTCTGGCCATTTCAGCGCGGTTCTAGCGAGTCTTAGTTCTGCAGTTGTTCACCTGCTCTCTCCATGCGATGCTAAGAACATACCATGAATAAAACAGGAAAGGTAGGTAAGAAGTTTTGAAGTATTTTCATTTCTATTTTAGTGTCCTAAATAACGATCGCTAATATCCCCATACAAAACCCATATAATAGTTTTGTTACGTAACAACGATTTTTTATCGTGAGCTTGGGGTACCTGTGATTATTTGCTACTTCCTCCGTTTCCTATTAAACCTAAAAAAGCCTCTACTATCCAAATTTCAATCATCATTTGGTGCACCTGTACGCTTTCTCCTGAAGTAGTGGGGAGCAGTTGTTAAAGTACCAGCACGTTATATCATACATATGATCATGCCCTTAAATCTTTTCACCAATCTGCTTTAAAAAGCATCGATATTGGTGATGCTGAGGTGTTATACCTTTGACAAGCAGAACTGGAAGGGCAAAATGTCAGAGAAAAAGTTCATATCAAATTTAACCTTGAGTCGGCGCACAAGTTATATAATTATTGTAACGCGGTATGACATACCGCTTCTTTAAGAGCTAATTACATGGAAATTGCTGAATACTACAAAAAACGCATTTACACAAACAATACATTAACCCACTGGAAGCCCTGCGAATTATTTGTTGCCTCATAATGAGTGTGGCCTGGCAAAAAACAGAGGTGGAGCCGGAGGGTGTAACTTAATATTACAGATTAGAAGCATCTGTTGAATTAGTTTAATTTTTCCGATGGATTTAACCCGTTTTTTTTTTGTAATTTTTATTTATTTATTTCTTTTTCTCAAGCATGATAAAGCATGTTTCAAGTACAAACATTTCTGTTATCTTAACAAAAGCTGAATTTTTACAATCTACGTTCGCATCATTTGATTCACTCGTCCTTCATTAGTCTGGATCACGAGACATAGAACGGTTGAGTTTTTTCCTTATTATTACATTGCACATCCTTACTACTTATAATTACTGGCATCAGATGATTAGACCGCGCACATTATCAAAACATGGCGCCTTTTGCCTTGAGGCTGGCGCTCCCTAGAGAGATAAATCTTCATTTTCTTTTAACCGAGTATGGTGATCTATCATTTTGTAAATTTCTTTTTTTTTTAAGATGAGCACTAATCTTCTTTCTCTGGAATAAACGTACACTTCTAGCAAGACTGTGGAAAATATAAAGTTTAACTAATCTTCTTGTTTATTCGTTTTTCTGAGGTTTCTAGGAAGGGCTTTAACTTTGAATTCTGCTAACGGAAACCATGCCACTAAACGAAACGTGAAAAAAAACAGGATCATGCAAACGACCTTAAAACGACGGATGTTTATTAGCGATGCGCCTTTAATATTAATTGCCTTGACGTTCAGGGGTTTTAAAATCTTTTAACGTCCAAATTTACCCCAGTTCCCAACATATTATTCAAAACGTCAGCTGAGTAAGGAGGAAAGAGTAACAAAAGAGGCGTTCGTGGAGGGAGAGAGCTTCATCCGACGTCTTCCTCATAAACATAAACTCATTCAAGAGCATGCCTTCCTGACTCCGCTCCCGTTCTCTTGGAAAAAGGAAGTTATAATACACAATGAAAGAGGCAGCAGATTTCTTTCCCCGCCTCATCATAAACCTCGTAGTCAATTCCGTCTCATGTTACACAACAATCATGTTGAACATTGTCTTAATATTCGCGCTGCGAAGGTCTTCATCACTGCCAAAGACTCTAAAAGCATTGATCCTCAGCGTGGCTATTTCTGATCTTGGCATTGGTTTAGCTGTCCAGCCTTTGTACATCGCTCGCATGATTATGAAAATACAACAAACTGACGACCAGGAAACTTACAAAGATATAGATAGAGCTCTGCACCCCATAGGACGCACCCTTGGTTATGCTTCATTCTTCGGTGTCACAGCTATCAGCGTTGACAGATTCCTTGCTATCCACCTTCACCTCAAACACCAGGAACTTCTCACCTACCAAGAATTTGTGACGTACAAGCGTGTTGTAGCTGCAGTGATCTTAAGCTGGCTTCTCAGTGCTTTCCTGGCTCTAACCGGTGTTTTGAGCGGTGGATATGTTTGTAACCTTGCATCGGTGACTGTGGCATTGGTTTGTCTTCTTACTATGGGTCTAATATATTTCAAGATTTACATAGTCGTACGTCGCCACACCGTTCAAGTTCATGCACAGCCAGCCCAAGCAGTGGCACCGAACGAAGAAAACCGATCAAATTTTGAAAGAGTGAGAAAAACAGCAGTTGCTACATTTTACGCCTATCTGTTGTTTTTGGCCTGCCATTTGCCAATCGCTATTGTGATCTTGGAGACACGGAGAAATGAGGTGGGGGAAGATATGTCAATTTACACTCACACGCTGTTATATTTGAGTTCATCCCTCGTTCCTCTGGTTTACTGCTGGAAGTTTAGACACATCCGATGCGCTATCAAGAACATTCTGCGCGACATTTTGCAAGCCAGAATCAGATTCAGGAAGGGTAGATTTCATTAACATGGTTCAGCCTTTGGAAAGTTAAATTTTACTGACGAGATTCAGACTTTGAAAAATGACATGACCTTTCTAGACCCTGTTAGTACACACGTCGTAGAGGAAGTTATAACAGTTTTCCTGTGTCACGTTTAAGCGATAGTTGACTTTTGTTTCTTGGCCGATTTATTTGTTCTTGTTAACGTAGCATGCACCGACCTATATTTATGACAAGTAAATACGTAGAATGTGCTGTAGCTTTTGCAAACAGATTTGTAGTATTGAATAAATGATACAACCCGCATGATACAGAAAAACAACCAGCTATTTGTCCATTGTCATCATCAGTGGCACTTCTTCTCAATAAGACTCAAATGTGAATGTCTCCGCTTTCCGGTATTAATGTTTCAATATATCAGCGCCATTAAGCTCTAAAAAACAGAGTTAACATTTTATGATTTGCAAAATAGAATTCACAGCCACCGTGCCAATTATATGTTTGTAGAAATATATTTCCTCGCAATTTTGCATTTTTCTAATTGTTGCATGTCCTTAGGCTTAGATCAGCTCCTTAAAAACCTTACGCTTTAATTATGGTAAATCCATTTGTATACTAGCTCTTCTGGCGTGTAGTGCGTCATTACAGACTGTAGTTAAGGTCCCATCTCCCAAACGCTCACCTCCTCATCCTCCTTTACGTAGTTCTAGACCTTCACTGTAAACAGCATGTTTTTAAGCCTACTAGTTGTAGGCTTAATAAACTAAAATCGGTAAAAACGATCAGGCAGTAGGACTATCTACTGCCGGTTACAAGGGCAGAAGTTTCCCCAAAGCCATGGGCTATAAATTTGGATATTATTATATCTTTTCGCTCAATTGTTTTCAGAGAAAAAAAATTACAATAACTCAAAGTGAAATTTTGAACACTTAAATGGCGTCGCTGTTTTAAAAAGAAAGTAATTATATATACATTTCAAAGTGGAGAAACTTATTAAAATGCTCACCATCAGCTTGGCTGAGTCGGTTTACCCCATTTAAGGTCGAAGAAAGGGGACATCTGTTAATTCGCCCAGCTTAGCAAGAAATTAAGTGAAAAATTGACCAAAATACGATTTCAATAAACACCAGTGAGGCTCAGGTACCTGACCGATGCTTGAGTTGGATTCAAATGCATGACTTTATGTGTAGTTTTCTCTTACAACATTGCTAAAGGTGTAAGGATTTACGAAAGCGATAAATGGTAAAATGTCATCCCATATTCTACTGAGTTTAAGCATGCCACTAGGCACGTCAGGTGGTACTGGCCTTAAAGAGTTTTTGTTGGCTAGATAGTCAAAAAGAAAAAAAGGTCACTTCCAAAGCCTCTTTCCTCGCTTCATTTTATTTCATTGTGTTTTGAAGTAAAAGTTCAATAACATGCCAGCGGGTAGCTAAGCTAATCTACGCCGGTCATGTTTACAGGAAATAAATACAACGAAATACAGCTAAAAGTAACAAGAGAACTAAAGAAACTAAAATTGTCATGACAACAATGACTAGAGACTACTGATAAACTTGATAGACTGAAATTCCTTCTTCAGATCATTCAGTTGTCTCTTTAAATTATCGTTTTCTCTTCTTAACGCTTTCACTGTGACTCCCATTAGTCAACGAAGAAAAAAGAAACGATCTTAACTAGCCTAACTGCAAATACACATATGCGAGAACGCGGAGCGCTAGCTGAAGCGTCCGGTCAGTCTTGCGGCACGTGCGTCTCTGGAAGTGTAATCAAACACAGAACTTCAGGAATGAGTACTTTTCGAGCAATGAGGGGATGTGGAGATCTCTTTGACCGCCAGCCGTGACTTGTATAGCTTTAACGCCCTTTTGTCTTACACTTCCATCATGTTGAACATTTTAACAATATTAACAAAGATTGCTAAAGCCATTGAAAACTGCTTTTACGATCGTGGAATCGGTTTGATTGCAATTGTCCAACGCTGGGTTTTGCCTCTATCGTAGTTCATGATTCAGTAGTTCAATGGGTAGTGCCTCGAGGGTTGTCAAACTTCCGTGGGTTAATTAAGCATACTTGGCATGTTCAACCATGCAGGCTTGAGTCAACCCACTTTGGTGATCAACTAGCGGTTAAGTTGGGGCGATAATGTTTGGATCTGTTGCAGAAGAACGTAAGCGAGCCTGTGGAGGTCCTCCAAGATGTGATCTTAGATTCTCAGTACCTCTTCGATAGCGAGCGAGTTGCTCGTACAACCAGCCCCCAACATTTATATCTAGTCACAATTAGCCCTTCTTCATTATTTACATGTACTATAAGGCTCACATTAACAATATACCGTGAGCTTACATTTACTATATAGCTGGCATTTCCTGAAATCGATTTCATAAAAGATGAAACAACCGATAATTGTCCCCCATGTTATCTGCTAATGTCCCTAGTAAGTCCTTCTTTTGTCTACTGCTTCTTTTAACATATACTCGTTTGATTGAAAAGCGATTTTTCAAAAAAATCAAACTGTTTCTCCATAAATCGCCGAGGAGGGTTAAAAGACTTAGCGTAAAAAAATACAGTACATCTTTTTAATTGTGGCCTTCACGGCTTGGCTCACTTTTGTGATCCTCCAACAGTGCAGGAACGGGTTAAGAGATGAGACGAGAGTTGAATTTACAAGATTCGCAGCCATGTAAAAAACCTCACTGTTGGCAAGAATGCTATTCAACAGAAATATCCCATTTAAAATAACAAATGGGATATAGCATATAACTAACGCCGACTGCACCAAAGCTATGCCGGTAACGGTTCTTTTAAACTGTGCTATGCGCAACGCCGGAATTCCCCCTCCAGTTGGTTGCCCATGATGGTGAACATCGCATTGCACAGTAGGGTGCACAGTAGCTTGATGTAGACGCAGCTTGATAAATATGATGGTGTAAGAAAGAAGTGAGGTGATGATGGTAAGCATTCCCAAGACTGTGAGTGTTGCCACGGCGATGTTTCTATCCCAGAACAAGAACATGAATCTGCACAAAACAGAAATTAAACAAAAGCAGAAAATAACTACACGAACTCGCTTTAGTGTTACGACGTGCTTTTACCTTAGCCTCAATAAAAGGGCGAGAAGTCAATCCACACTTAGAGTAGTCTTTGTGAACAGGGAAACTCCACAAAGACAAATTGACAAAGCCCAACTTATACCGGAAAAAAAGAAAGATATCCCAGTTGACGTTTATCGCAGAGTATAAGACGTGGATGGCATAGAATGGCTGCAAAGTGAGACCAACGCCAAAATCAGTCATTGCCAGGCATTGAAACAACAGTTTCGTCGGTGGATAAAGAGAACTTACGTTACGGAGAGCAATCAGGATCAGAGCGTTCCCCAGAAATGCCGTGATGGAAAGAAGAATGTTAAAAGAGCAAAAAATAATAGTCACTGTCGTTATATTAAATGTCGCGGAAGAGGTAGCGTTTCCTTCTTCGGATAAGTTCCCCATCTATATAAGGCGCGACCGTTTCTTAGTTATTATGCTACTGCACTTTGACTGAATAACAAATATTGGGTTGGTGGACTAGACAGCCGTCCTTTATGACTATTCAGCCTCAATTGTTGATCATTCAAATCATAATTCAAACGTGACATCCAAAAAACGGCTGCAAGGGAACTGTAGCTTTTGAAGCAGTGGTATTTCACATCATCAGCTCGTAATAATATCTTGTGTTATCTTAGTACGACAGGCAGAAAATAATTCACAGGGCTTTCAGTGGGTTAATATATTGTTTGCGTAAATGCGTTATTTGTCGTATTCAGCAATTTCCACGTAATAAGCTCTTTAAAAAAGCAGTATCTCACACCGCGCTACAATAACTTGTGTGTTATTGTCAAGTTAAATTTGGTATTAACTTTTCCACGACATTTTGCCCGTACCTCTGTTTATCAAAGGTAGAACACCTCCGTTTTTAACCCTCTAATCCTTTAGAGTGATCAGATTCCACTTTTTTCCTTGCAGTAGTATCAACGGTGAAACTGTGAAAGGTCTGAACCCAGGAGTCATTTCAGGACTACGTTCACCCGGACGATCAAACTCAACCTACTTTTGAATAGTATCAACGCTTAACTTTATAAGGCAGATTGGTGACAAGAATTAACCTGTCTTTATGTAAAGCAATAATAACGCATGTTTCAAGAGCAAAGTAAAATTTCTGTTATCTTTACAAAACCTGACTGTTTGCTGTCTACCTAGTCTGGATCACGAGACTTACAACGGTTAAGTTTTTTCCTTATTTAATGCATTTGACATGCTTACGGCACATAATTACATCCATGATCAGACCGTGCACATTACCAGCCTTAAGGCTGGAGCTCTCGAGAGAGATAAATCATTTTCTTTTAAAGGAATATGGTAATCTATCAAATTGTTCCTCTCTTTCAAGATGAGCATTATTTTTTTTCTCTAGAATAAACGGAGACTTCAAGCGGGAGTGATGGAGAATACGAAGTTAAACTAATCTTCTTGTTTATTCGTTTTTTCTGAGGTTTCTAGGAAGGACTTTAACTTTGACTTTGTGCTAATAAAAACCATGCGATTAAACAATTAAAAATGTGAAGAAAAAAAAACAAAACAAGACAAAACAAAAAAACATCGCTTAATGCACACCACCTTTACACGACGGAAGTTAATTGGAAATAGGCTTTTAATGTAATTGCCTTGACGTTCAAAGGTTCTCATATTTCTTACGTCCAAATTTATCCCACTTTGCAACACGCTTCAAAACGTCAGCAAGAAGGTTTCATCACGTGACCATCTCTTGGACATTCATTCGTTGTTAAAACAGTTCCTCGTTGCATCTTTCAAGGCCACCTGGACTCCGGTTTTGAACAGCTCTAAAGAGGAAAGGCGGAATAAAGTAGAGGCATTCGTGGAGAGTCCTTCATCCGATCTATTCGTCCAGCTTATTACTCACAAATGTATATTTATTCAAGAGAGCATACCCGACTGACTCCGCTTCTTTCTCTTGGAGAGAAAAGGAAGTTATAATACACAATGAGAGATTTCACTCCTTCTCTCGTCCTAAACTGCGTCGTCAATTCCTTCCTGTCTTACGCAACAGTGATGCTGAACATCGTCTTAATATTCGCGCTGAGAAGGACTTCATCACTGCCAAAGACTCTAAAAGCATTGATCCTTAGCGTGGCTGTTTCTGATATTGGTGTGGGATTACTTGTCCAGCCTTTGTACACCGCACGCCTGCTTATGAAAATGAAAAACGCTAACAACCAGGAAACTTATAACGACATAGTTACAGTCGTAGGACACACCCTTAGTTATGTCTCATTCTTCGGTGTCACAACTATCAGCGTTGACAGATTCCTTGCTATCCACCTTCACCTCAAACATCAGGACCTTCTCACCTACCAAGAAATTGTGACTTACAAGCGTGTTGTTGCTACAGTTATCTTAAGCTGGCTTCTCGGCGCTTTCCTGGCCCTAACCGGTGTTTTAAGCAGCAACAAAAATATTTTTATGCTTCATGTTCCTTTACATATTACGAAAGTTATTGATGTTGGCGGAGTCTCGCTTTGGGTGAGCTCTGTTTGCTGGGACACAAAATAATCACAATCCCATTATGGGATATTTTGGCCACGGGAGTGGCCGTTTATTAAATTAAAGCATATAAAGCTGGGAAAACTAGATACACAAGAACATTATCCCAGCAAAGGTGAGGGCACACCCGCCACTCCCTAGGGTAAAATAAAGCTAACGGGAGGGAAGGGAGGGAAAAATGTTTCTGACTGTCTTGTCATGCGAGGAAGGAGGCCTTGTGCCTCGCTTCTGTGACTTACATGACCCGTGACATAAATGACACTTTCGTGACAAATCACCCGGATGACAGGAAACCCTCCTTTGCTGGTAGCTGGAGAAATACAATAATGATCAGTCACATTAAGCATAAAACCATTTATTTCTTTCAGAAATAAATCTCATTTATGCTTCATGTTCCTTTACATATTACGAAAGTTATTGATGTTGGCGGAGTCTCGCTTTGGGTGAGCTCTGTTTGCTGGGACACAAAATAATCACAATCCCATTATGGGATATTTTGGCCACGGGAGTGGCCGTTTATTAAATTAAAGCATATAAAGCTGGGAAAACTAGATACACAAGAACATTATCCCAGCAAAGGTGAGGGCACGCCCGCCACAGCCCAGAGCAAGGAACGAGTGAAAGGGCCGCCCCACCCAAGGCCAAAGCAAGACGACCGCCAACAGAAACTACTGGTACCTTCAGATCAAAATGTACAATGGAAAAAGGTGTGCGCCGCCTGATACGAAAACCCGAAAAACCACATAGGAAAAATTGGGAACGTATCCCCCAACCAATGCAGTCACACAAAACCTCTGGGGGTTAAAGGTAAGAAAGATACCACATTAAAAATAAAAAGGGGGGTCAATGTGCGAGAGCTGAGATGAATATACATGTATTATAATCATCCAACCGTGTACACCTTACAACAATAGAGTCAACTAGCACCATAACGGCTCATGTGTGTCCATAGCAATAGGACATTGTATACATTCTTTGTCACTGTCACTTACAGCTTAGTTCCACCAGTTTAGTTCAGTGGAGGTTATGCACATAAACATATAGTAATAGAATGGTAAGGCTGTTTACCAAGCCCTGCTTACTGAAATGGATCAGTGTAACCAACAGAAATGTACCAGTTTGAATGAATGTGAGGGGTGTATGGCCCTTGCTCACACTGTCATTGTATCTGACACAGATCAAAAAGTGTGAATCACTTAAGTTAACTAACAGTTTAAAAGTGAAAATGAATGAGATAACTGTATGGCCCTTGTTCACACAGCCATCATAAATTGCACTTATTCACTAAGCACTGGACACTAGATGGGAATAGATGGAGTTTTAAGTAATGTTTTCCTAAGTCTTGGATACAGAAGTGGATTGATGTAACCAACAGAAATGGGCTACTGTAGCTAGAATAAAGGAAATGGCTGCATAGCCTGTCAGCTCACACAGTCAACTTATAATATCGGCCTCACTAATGCCACATCGATACGAAGCTCAAACGTGTTTAAAAGCTGTAAAGTTAAACCAGCTTGAAATAATTAGAAGTGAAAATTAATTGGTAACATGGCTGTATGGCCCCTGCTCACACAGTCACCAAGAATTTAAATGATAACAATTTAGGCTGAATGGTCATAGCTCAGTGACATAATGAAATGATTTAATTTGAAAAACTGTGATCTGGCTGTATAGCCCCTGCTCCCACGGTCACGCTGAATTGTACTTATCAAAAAGCTGAAATAGCTCGTTAATGTAATTGATTAAAATGAAATCGGTAAGATGGCTGTATGGCCCCTGCCCACACAGTAAACATGAATTTAAATAATAACAATTTACTCTAAATTGTCATAGCTCAGTGACATAATGGACGGATTAAATTTGGAAATCTGTGATATGGCTGTATGGCCCCTGCTCACACAGTCATGCAAAATTATACTTATCAAAAGTCTGAAATAGCTAACTGATGTAGCTGATTACAATAAAACTGTGCGATGGCTGTATGGCCCCTGCTCACACAGTCACCCTGAATGATACTAATAAAAAGTCTGACGGAACTCACTGATGTAACTGATTCAAATGAAAATCTGTGAGATGGCTGTATGGCCCCTGCTCACACAGTCACCTTGAAACTATACTATACGCAGAAATCACCTAGGAAACTAACAGGTGAATAAAGTGAAAAAATTAATATACTGCAAGATGGCAGAATGACCCTGACTCATGTGGTGAGAATTCTACATATTACAATGTCACTGCCCAGCACATAAGTATCAAATGACATACATGTCCTATACACTTGAGCTACATGTATACCCAATCACAATGCCCAGGAAGCCAAAGTAGTCTGAGAAAAGTTCTGCCCAAGTAGATGTACACGTAGGTGCCACATGCCAAGGGACGCAGCAGCTGCTGTTGAGTAGCCCGGCACTAGAGATGCAACTCCTGGAAAAATGATCAGCAGAATGTGTACAACTCTTTTGAACATTTCTGGCATACTATGTTGAACTGAATTGAGGAACCAAAGAGAATGCAGAGCTATTGACTTTCTTAAGAGAGATGCCAAGGGAAAGCTGAAGATGGTTGGATAAAGCTGGTTGGTACTCTGCTCAAGACTGGCTTCATTGAAAAGGCATCCATGAAAGGGAGCTGCATGTGTATACCTTAGCACCTGAAGTAAAATGAAAAAACTATTAAAACAACTTCTTTAAACAAGCCAGAATGTGCTACGATTAAAGAACAATGTGTAACCAATTAATAAATCAATCAGGATCTCCCAAACAAAACGAATAAACAGTAAATTCCTCAAAAACAACAAAGCTAAAAGCACTGATGTGACATGGAGAGTAAAGCATAAAGCAACGTATTACAGTGTCCCATCACAATAAACGCAGGACTGTAATGTCCACACATATCAAAACAGGGGAGCCAACAAAACCGGAGATTAAAATTAATGTAGCTGCATGTAAACCAAAATAACGGATAGCACGAATAAAGACTAAAAAATAGACAAAAAAGGCAAAAAATGTGAATAGAAATTCAGACCAAATAATATTGGCATCTGGTTACCCTAGACAAAAATACAACAAACAGAACCACACATATATCACTGCAAACAAATCAAATAAGCAGTACAAACAAAGCAACAGGGGCCTAGAACAATGAGGACCAAAGCCTCAAACTGAGGAACAAAGCCTCAAAGGCTACCATGGACGAACTGCTGATAGCCAGAGGACGAATCCTCAAAATAAAAATAATGGACGAATCCACTATATAACACAATAAAAATGTGGCAGGGAAAGTCTGTCAGACATTAAGTCGACGCAAAAAACTCCCCTATAAATGCCAAAATAATAAATAAATAAGAGGTTGACAACAACCCCAAAAGCAAGAGTGGACGAATCCACTAAAAGCCAGAGGACGAATCCTCAAAAAGTATCATAAGGATAAATAAAATATGAGGACAAAGCCTCAATATAAAATATGAGGACGAAGCCTCGAAATAAAATACGAGGCCGAAGCCTCAAAATAAAATATGAGGATGAAGCCTCAATATAAAATATGAGGACGAAGCCTCAAATAAAATACGAGGCCGAAGCCTCAAAATAAAATATGAGGACAAAGCCTCAAAATAAAATACGAGGCCGAAGCCTCAAAATAAAATATGGGGACAACGCCTCAAATAAAATACGAGGACGAAGCCTCAAAATAAAATATGAGGACAAAGCCTCAATATAATACGAGGCCAAAGCCTCAAAATAAAATATGAGACGAAGCCTCAATATAAAAAACAAGGACAAAGCCTTGATACAACATGAGGACAAAACCTCAACAAAACAAATGAGGTCAACGCCTCAAATACAAGTGGAGGAACAAAGCCTCACACTGAAAAAACGGCCCAGAAGTAAGCACTGGCAGACAGAATGTCGCCGACAGCGACTAAAGGAAAACAACAGAACACAACGATACACAATGCAACAGGATAAAAACACAATATGCAGACAAAACTGACATATGAACAGCAAAGGATAAACCTGATATGCTGATACAGTACACTGTACCTCTGAGGTAACTTTGTTAGAATGGTTGCAAGTTTTAGCCTGTAGGGTTTAATAACGCATCGTTTTGTTTGGCTTTGTTTTGTTGTTGTTGTTGTTGTTTTTTATTTTTATAATACTGTAATTCTAATTATACATATAAGCTGAGTCCAAAGGTCAAAAATGCTCAAATGTGCATAAAGGTAAACTGAAAATAATTATGAATAAATAAAGTGTCTTTCCATATCATAAAACAAGATCATAAACAAAGAGACCCAGCTCCAGGCTGGTATAAATAAAAATTTTAACTGAAGACCGGGCGAGTGTTACTGATTTCAAATATAGCGCCAGTTGGCACTAGCGATACAAGTAGCTGAAGAACACGAGGCACAACCAGTCTGAGGGACAACGAAACTGTGCTACGGACACCGAACGGACTAGCATACACGCCAGTGTAACTGAAAACATATAAAATTAATGGTCGATTGGATGTAGAATTCGATGTTACCAATAAACAATGGCATTTCATTAGCATAAACGACCGCAACATGTATGAATTCCCGCAATCAACAAGACGATCATGTGCACGAACATGACTGGGGACATCAATACAGCACCGAGAGTAAGCGGTGAGCCATCGGGCAATAATCTAGTACTTATCTCAAAGAAGAGGTGATGCTCGGTAGGTAAGACCCAAGAAGAGCGAAAGAGACTGATAAATCGCAAGCATCCTGCATCTAAATCCGGTCGCCATCAAAAATGTTTCTGACTGTCTTGTAATGCGAGGAAGGAGGCCTTGTGCCTCGCTTCTGTGACTTACATGACCCGTGACATAAATGACACTTTCGTGACAAATCACCCGGATGACAGGAAACCCTCCTTTGCTGGTAACTGGAGAAATACAATAATGATCAGTCACATTAAGCATAAAACCATTTATTTCTTTCAGAAATAAATCTCATTTAACCTTGCAGGGGTGTCTGTAGGATTGGTTTGTCTCCTTACTATGGGTCTAATCTATTTCAAGATTTCCATAGCCGTACGTCGCCACACCGTTCAAGTTCATGCCCAGCCAGCTCAAGCAGTGGCATCGAACGAAGAAAATCGCTCAATTTTTGAAAGACTGAAAAAAACAACGGTTGGTACATTTTACGTCTATCTGTTGTTTTTCGCCTGCCATTTACCAATCGCTATTGTGATCCTGACCGGTCGAAAGACGAATAAGAAGAGACAACATTTCAAGATTTACGCTCAGACGCTGTTATATTTGAGTACATCACTCGTTCCCCTGGTTTACTGCTGGAAGTTTAGACACATCCGATGCGCTGTCAAGAACATTCTGCGCAACACATTCGCAAGTCAGAATCAGATTCAGGAAGACTAAACTTTAAAGTCTATCTGTTGTAACTAGTCAGTCGCTATTATGATCCTGGTCGGACAGGTGATTAAGACGAGAGAACATTTCTGAATTTTCCGTCAGACGCTGTTATATTTGAGTTCATCCCTTTTTCCTCTGGTTTACTGCTGGAAGTTTAGACAAATCCGATGCGCTATCAAGAACATTCTGCGCAACACATTCGCAAGACAGAATCAGATTCAAGAACGTTAAATTTAACTAGCTTGATTCAGCCTTTGAAAAATGACGTGACCTTTCTAGTCTGTATACGCATCGTGCAGGAAGTTTTAACGGTTTTTGCTATGTCATATTTAAACGATAGACCTAAATATTTGTTTGTCTCTCTATTTATTCGTTCTTGATGGCTTTATTCGTCCTTTATTACATATAAAAGCGCCAAACGTACTGTAACTTTTGCTATTAGGTTTGTTTGTATTATAAATTGCAGTTTTATTTGGGTGACAAAAAATTGGCAGAAGTTGAAACTTTCATCTAAAAACAATAGTATGCAGATAACCTCGTACATCTGTAGCCTATCAGTTAATAGTTCTTAGTTTTCTATATTTATCATTTTTGAATGACATTTAACAGTCTAGCGAATCGATTAATAAACGTCACGAAAATATTAATTTTAAACTAGGTATACCTATCGATAGAGTGCCAACGAGCAAATCATGCGTATTTTGCATAGGAATTCCTTTTTTCCAAAATTTGACAGTTTCTTGGTCCCTTCTTGTTGAAAGGATTATTTCCTTAAAACTGATGTGCTATGCAAGGCGGTATAAACTAGGTTCGGAGAAGAGTCAGTCCTCAGACTGCTGTGGTTTTACGAACCTGCTGTATAAAAGTTCAAAGTGTCATGAGGCATTCTATTTTGAAAGAATAAAACAGCTTGCAGAGGAAGCGATCGGTAATATTTAGGGGGAAATATAAAAAATGATCGTTTCTCTTACCACTACAAAATTAGTGTCGGTTCGGTTTCACTTTGTAGATAAATATTTGTGCAGTTTACTCATTTAAACCTCCTCTAAAATTTCCCGAGGTTTTTTGTCGAGTTCCCGATTGAATTTTAGAATGATTCGCTGCGCTGCTTGAAATGTTTTCAAGGACATGCGATCTACGGCACGTCGGTATTTTGATTTCACTTCGGCCAGGTTTCGAAAAAAAATAGCTTTGTTTTCTTTTCCGTCGTCGTTCGCTTTAGGCTTGTAATTCTTTTTTATTCTTATTTTTCCATTTGCTGGTTAGATTTTTTCCCCAACATCAGATTTTCCAGCAGAAGCGACTATATATTCTCCGTATCAAGCTTTCCTTATGTCCTCGTGTAATCTGATCCTTTTGCTTGTTTCACATGGAAAATTAAACTGTTGTTTTACAAGCTTCTCTTCGTTAAAACCTTACATTAATGGCCCCCCAAATTATTACAATGCATCAAGTTTTCATTTTCCTTGACTGCCGGGGCCAGATATTGGTGAATAAACAATAAAAACATACCACATTCAAGTTCAGTCTTCGCGTGCCGCGGAGGAAAGAACACATGAGCGCCAAGTATAGTTTACCGCCTTTTGATTGGCTGAAACTGTCACACCACTTGGTCTCAGGGGAATCTACATTACATGAGGTTACACTTTTTGAAGCTCGATCGAGAATTTTTCTGCTTACAGCCGAGTCTTGCGCGGCTCTATTCTGCTGCCGCCTCGCCATCCGATCGTCTTCGCTCGGACGGCTCGTTGGCAATTAGGAAAGAATGATGCACGATTTGTTATGTAAGTATTAGTTTTAACTAATGCAAGAAAGATCATGAAGAGCGATCAACGTCATCATCGTTAACCCTTTCAACCCTAGGATCAAAATTAAAATTCTCCTTTGTCGCACCTATTCATTTACTATAGAAGTAGTGAGGAGAAGTTCATAAAATATCAAGCAAATACATTCTGTCTGATCATGTCCTAAATTCTCAGTTAGGGACCATGCTGAGCCGAACATCCTTCAAGAAAGGAGCGACTTAACGGCGTCTGGATATCAGGTAAAATACTAAATGTTGTGTTTGATACAGCTTGTCAATGAACAATAATTCTTGAAGAAATTCAAGGCAATAAAAGTTCGCAAAATTTTGTGGTAATTAATTTTTTCCAACCTCCGTTACGGTAGTGATTTCCTGTTTTTGTTTTCTTTTCATGAATTATTAATGAGCTTAGGAATACTCAATCAACATCGTTCTTGCTCGACGGAGGAAGTCTAGTTTAAGGACCCTGGGAACGAGGTCGTTAGACAGACCACTTCAATAATTCACACGTCACCCCAAGGCTTGGGGAAATGAAACAATAGGAATCACCTGGAAGTTCAGTCATGAATAAATCTCTGAGCCTGTAAAGACCACGAACACTTGCATTTTCAGTAAAACAGTTTTATAATCAACACAAGGATCAATTTTTTTTCTTTTAGTGGTACAATACAACAGAAGTTTCATTTATTTTTGCTTCTATCGAAGGGCAAAAATTTATATTGTCTTGTGTTTGCTGTGAGATTTCTAACAAATCAGCGGCAGTGCTATTTCCCATCATGACATGGGACCCTGAAAAGACAGGTAATCTTTTATCACAAGGCAGACGATTACAAACTCATTCAGTCATTGGCTTGAAGGCAGATAAAACATTTTAGAATGGTTAATGAAGCCACGTAGATTAGCTGCAGATAAAATCGAAAATTAAAATCCAGCTTGATATAACCCCGCACCACATGCAATTTACGACTAGTTACGCCACAGGTACCCTAAGCTCCGGAGTGAGAATCGTTGTTGCGTAACAGAAATCAGAAATATTATAAAGGTTGGTACGGGGATTTTAGCGATAGTTAGTCAGGGCACTAAAATAAAAAATAAAAATACATCAAAATTTCTTACCTCGCCTTCTTGTTTTATCTATGGTATGTTCCTAGCATTTCTGGCCCAGTCAGCGCGATTCTAGCGAGTTTTAGTTCTGCCGTTGTTCATTAGTATCGCATGGAAAGAGCAGGTACCATGAATAAAACAGGGAATCGAGGTAAGAAGTTTTAATGTATTTTCATTTCTATTTTAGCGTCCTGAATAACGCGATCGCTAAAATCCCCATACAAACCCATATAATAGTTCTGTTACGTAACAACGATTTTTTATCGTGAGCTTGGCGTACCTGTGATTATTTGCTACTTCGTCCGTTTCCTATTAACCCTAAAAAAGCCCCTAATATCCAAATTTCATTCATCAGTTGGCACACCTGTATGCTTTCTCCTGAGGTAGTGCGGAGCAGTTGTTGAAGTACCAGCACGTTATATCATACATATCACTAGAAATACGTAAATCGCAGGACCTCGCGAAGGACTGGGGGGAACGGCAAGTAGAGAAGAAAATTTGTAAATCTAAAAATTCTCCATCCATCTTTGTTGCTTGCGCCGTTGAATTTCAAGTCGGCGTTCTTCGCTCCAGAGGATTTTTCGGTGTGATATCTTCCCCTTCGAGGATTGACAATTCGGCGTTCTTGTGTTTGCTGTTCTGTTTGCATGAAAAATGGCTTGAGATTCACCGATTGTAAACATTGTTTTGCAGACGACGAAAACACAGCTCTTCATGAGTACTTTGGTCATTGATGGGAATTTGAAATTGCTTTCAGTCGAATGTTGCCTAGAAACAAAAATGCGCCGTGACGTCAACTACTGTATGACGTCATGGCGGACACCATCGGATATATACAAATAAAGATGAAATCTGCGACTTTGCAGCTCGCTAGGACCCACGCGCGGTTCACACACTGCGCACGAAGCTGATCATGCCCCCAATTCTTTTCACCAATCTGCTTTAAAAAGCATTGAATGTGTATTATTGTCAAGTTAAATTTGGTATTAACTTTTCTACGACATTTTGCCTGTCCTTCTGTTTATCAATGGTAGAACACCTCCGTTTTTAACCCTCTAATCCTTTAGAGTGATCAGATTCCATTTTGTTTCTTCCAATAGTATCAACGGTGAAACTGTGAAAGGTCTTAACCCAGGAGTCATTTCAGGACTACGTTCACCTGGACGATCAAACTCAACCTACTTTTGAATAGTATTAACGCCTTATAAGGCAGATTGGTGACAAGAATTAACCTGTCTTTATTTTAAGCAATAATAACGCATGTTTCAAGAACAAAGTAACATTTCTGGTGAAAACCTGATTGCTTACTGTCTACCTAGTCTGGATCACTAGACTTACAACGGTTAAGTTTTTACTTTATTATTGCATTTGACGTCCTTATTGCACATAATTACATCCATGATCAGACCGTGCACATTAACAGCCTTAAGGCTGGAGCTCTCGAGAAAGATAAATCATTTTCTTTTAAACGAATATGGTAATCTACCAATTTGTTTCTCTCTTTCAAGATGAGCATTAATTTTCTTTCTCTAGAATAAACGTAGACTTCAAGCAAGAGTGATGGAGAATACGAAGTTAAACTAATCTGTGCTAACAAAAACCATGCAACAAGACAAAATATGAAAAAAACAAAACAAAACAAAACAAAAACATCGGATAGTGCACACCACGACGGGAGTTCATCGGAAATAGGCTTTTAACCCTTTAAACCCTAAGATCAAAATTTGAATTCTCACTTGTTGCCCCTATTCATTTCCTAGAGACGTAGTGGGGAGAAGTTGATAAAATATCAAGCAAATTCATCTTGTGTGATCATTTCCATAATTTTCATAACCACTCTGTTTTACAAAGCATTGGTATCACAAGGAGAATTTTGATGCTGATCACTCTTAGGGCTTAAAAGGGTTAATGTAATTGCCTTGACGTTCAAAGGTTTTCATATTTCTTACGTCCAAATTTACCCCAGTTTGTGACACGTTTCCAAACGTCAGCAAGAAGGTTTCATCACGTGACCATCGCTAGGACATTAATTCGATCCTAAAACAGTCCCTTGTTGCAACTTTCAAGGCCACCTGGACTCCGGTTTTGAACAGCTCTA